GTGGCCAAGGTTGAGAAACACTATTCTAAGCTGTTGCGCAACATGCAATTTGGAAGAAATTCAAATTCTATCAAATCAACAGTGGCCAAAACCGATTCTGACTTGGTGGAGGGAAGTAAAATAAAGAATATGATGTTCCAGTGTGATGCAAGAACCCCATCTCCTTTGGTGCATACCCTGTGATGTTGCATGCACAGTCAAAAGGGGTGGATCTTTCAGAGCGATGCTGTCGTCGTCATTCTGACAAACACAGCACGCTCATGGGATTAACCATGGTTCCATGTAGGATAATCTTCTCTTCCTTTATTGGACTTCAGGTTGCATTGAGGGGAAAAAAAAACATTCAGACATAAATGCATGCTAAGATCTGACTTGAGGCTTTTGGAATTCATGACATGGTCAATACAAGCTCCATGTCTTCTACCATTTCTTGTAATTCCAAATGCAATTCAAGGAGAGATGTAATTCATTCCCATCTCTGGTTATCTTGACGACCTCCTCCTCCTCCTCCTCCTCCTCCTGTTCACTCTTCCCTAATTCCTTAAATTTGGTCTCCATTAAAAGCCCCCACCCTGTTCCTTGCCACATTGTCACTAATGTGCTTCTTAGATCAGGAACGTTATTATTTTTTTCCTATGGATCCAGATACTACTGGAAGCATAGAAGTAATAGTAGCAATCAAAACCACAGCTGGCTCCAGAGAAAAACAAGGAGGGTCATATGCCAGTGGTTTCTGCCCTCATCTCTCTATCATTTTCACTTGATGCAGAATAACCAAGAAAATTAAAAGCATCCACTGAGAACAATTCATTGGTCTATTTCCTAGTTTCAGAGGATTTTTGGGGGGGAGCTACTGAGGATGATGCATCTCAAGGACCCCCAAATCTTAGGCCTACTGCTGGCCTTATTCATCCATGGTGAGCTAGAATATGATGTACCTGCGTAAATGCCTGAATATGCAAAGACCTTGTGCTTTACTCTTTAAGGCAAAGTAGCCATTATTGCTTGTTCAACAAACCACAGCTTTAAAAAATCCTAGTTTGTGTTATATGGAAACCCAGCCAGCAACTAGGATTGCAATATATAGTCAGCTAACCTGTTAAATTTCTAATGTGTTATAAGACATAACATATATGTTAATATGACTTATATATTATGCAGGGACATAAAAAATATTATGCTATTGAAGTTGAGCTAGAGGTGGATCTAAGGTGAAAGAAAGTGGGCTTCATCTGGAAAAATTCATCAGAGTGCAGTGTATGTGTGAATGTGTGTGTTTTTATGTTTCAACCAGCACACACCCTTTTAGCAAGCTTGTTTCCAACACAATTCAGAGTCATTAGTAAGAAGAATAACATTTCCAAGGATGGGTGTTGCTCTCAAAAGCTTCCAAGAATTGCTCAGGACACTGATAAGCAAGCTGGTTCTTTACTATACGAGAGTTAGAAAAATTATCAAAATGTCCATGCTAAGACAACGTCTGTGGACGGAAGGAAGGACGGAAGGAAGGAGGAAGAAAAGAAAGAAAGAAAAAGAAAATAGATGCAAAGTCCCTATAGACATCTTAAAAAACCAGGCACTGTCTCACTTATTTCCTCAATGGCAGATGTCCTAATCCAGGGGTGGATCTCCTCCATCTCTGTTAATTGATGGCCACATTGGCTGGACATTTATGAGATGAAATTCCTGACTCTGAGGACAGATTGATGTTCCACTGCCTGTGATTCAGGAGTTAGTACGCAGCCATCAGGACTAATGGGGATGGATTGCCTGTTCCTGTGTGAAATGGGCTGAGTCACTGGGACACTTTGGATCACAAGTTAACCCATATGTTTCAGCCAATGTTGTGTGAACCCAACCTATGTGCTTAGTTTACAGTTTGTTAAGCTGATTATAAGTAATTGTGTCATGCAAACACAGCCTCTGTCTGCTCCCCCATTCAACCTGCTCAAACTGGGGTCCATAAAGGATGATTGTGGGGAGAATTCCATGTATGTTACCATTTGCACGTTGGAGGAAAGAGAGGACACATAATTTAATAATCAGACTCTGGGGTTTCCAGATTGACCCTTACCTCTCCAACCCTTGCTGTCTAAGCCAGAGAGAGAGGTCCTCCTTGGAACCAAGGCCCCTGGAGCTCTGGAGATCCCTGCATGTCCATTCTGAAGGGCCCCACCAGATTGCTCTTCAGCTCTTCTGTCTGGCAAGTGTGTTGGCTTTGGAGGCCTGGGAGGGGGCGTCTTAGCCAAAATCTCAAGTTCGGTAAAGCCATAGGAAAGAGTATTCTGGTTTTTTTCTGCTAAGATGGTTGGTGTTGCAGGAGGCCCTGACAGCGGTGAGGAAGAAGAGAAGTCACTGGAAGGAGGTCTGCTTGAATCTGTGTTTCTTGGAAGGACCCCATGAATGGTTGGCTGGACCATCTCTTGCAGCAGGCCACCGGAGAGCTGTAAGCACAGCGAGGACTGAGAAGCCACAAAGTCAAAGAAGACATCATCTGATAACGTCCTCTCCAGGGAGCGGTCAGAGTTGGACCAACTGTGGCACCTGGAAGAAAAGCAGGTGTTACCATCTCAGAGGTGAGTGTAACCTCTGAACCCCTTTTTGAAGCTCCCTCTAACCACAATGGCTCGATGGCATATTCAGTTCCATGCCACGTTGAGGTGAGAAAAATGTAAACAAAAATAGGAGTGCTGTTTTTATTGTATTTACCTGATAGGATGCCAAGGTTTTCCCCCAGATAATTACCTGAGAGATGGGTGTTTTACATTCACTGGCAAAAAACCAAGGAATATCAGGGGGCACAAAGCTCTGCAGACTTTGGGGCTAGAAAGCACGGATGTTTTGTAGGCCAGTTTATAGTTGAGAGGTTCTGCCTTTTGTGACACCTAACTTTTATATTTCTTTCCTCATCTAGTTACTTCTTCAGCTCAACTCCTTTCCGTCCAATGGCATCCACAAGGGGGTCAAAACAGGCAAAATGGTAGTTGCAGCAGCACAATCTAAACCAGTGTTTGTCTATCTCAGCAACTTGAAGATGTATAGACTTCAGTTCCCAGAATTCCCCGGCCAGCATGTTGAAGTCCACACATCTTAAAGCATGCCAGCCAGGGAATTCTGAGAGTTGAAGTCCACACTTCTTAAAGTTTCTGAGATTGAGAAGCCCTGACACTTTGTACGTGTGTGCCTATAAAAAGGACAGGGTCTAGATCATGCTACCATGACCACCATCTTCTTTGTCCTGGATCCATCCAGTTCTCCTAGCCTCTTCTGATCTGTGACTTCTGGCAGATATTTATACCGTACAGACAAACAGATATGCACATACACACATTTATTGGGAAGGGGAAAAACATCAGGATGTTTTATTTTGTCCCGGCAATTATTGGGAAAGCTAATCGTTGTGCAGGACATTTTGTCTAGGTCCACAAGTTCTTCCCTCATCCACTCTTCCTGAATTGGGGTTGCGGGGGGACATTCAAGATTGTCATCCTTTCAGCTAAATACCACAAAGCCCTAAACTAGACTTAAGAATCTCTTTTAAATCCAGGAGCCCCTAAACACTGTCTCCCTACGAGACAGAAACAACCCCAAAGAAAATCTTCACTTCTCCTTGCTCTACTTTTCTGAATCATGCCACCCACGGGCATGCTTGGCTGGGGCAGAAATGTCAAGAAATGTCAATGGCTGCCCCATTGCCAAAATTGTGCCTATCCTGTTGTCATCGCGGCATGGATTTGTCCCTAACAAAAGCAAATCACATCCAGTCCTTTTAGTGCAGCGGTTCTTAAACGGTTTGACCCAGTTACCCCTTTTTCTGGTCTCAAACGATGTCACTACCGCCACGAAAAAACAGACTGTTGTTTTATACAAACCTCTCTGCAGCGGCAGTTCCAGACTGGATCCTCAACATAAATAAGCAATTACAAATTGCTCCACCACCCCCAGGATATGCCCAAATCACCCCCCAGTTTAAAAATGACTGTATTTAACCAGAATGAAGTCGTTGGTAGCAGCGGAAATAAATCTCTACCTTTGTGTAACTCCAAGAGGACTAGAAACAAGAGCCTGATGAGAACAAATCAAATCTTTATTATGGCCTATGGGCCAGAACACTCAACAATAACATACGTAGACCCGTAATTATTAATAAAACTTTTTTAAAAATTGCAATAAAATTAAATAATGATAAATGATATCATTATAATCCTATAAAATTATAAATAAAATGACTGCCACTGCTGTTTGTACTACAGTTCCTATAATAATGTAATTTTACTGCAATTTTTAAAAAAGTTTTATTAATAATTACGGGTCTAAGCATGTCACTGTTGAGCTTTCTGGCCCCTAGGCCATAATAAAAGTTCGATTTGATTTGATGAGAACCATAACGACGTGGGGCACTGTGTAGAGCTTGTCGAGCTCCAAAAACAGGGAGGCAAAATCACATTTTGCTCAGGGACAGTTGGATTCACACCATGGTTAGCCGAATAAGCCACAGGGGCTGGGTTGATGCATTTTGCTGAGCCACAAATCACGGTTTAAATATCACAGGCTGGGTCTACCCAAATTTGGCACCCCACAGTACGATGCTACCTAACGTGGCTGAGTTTTCCGGTCTCACAGTTGGACAAAAAGAGATAGTCGGGAAGAAAGACAGATTCGGACTCGCTTGCCGTCTCCTCGGCTGCGGCGGCGTCGGTGGCGGCGTGGTCGGCCGAAAGAGATGGGTTGGCAGTCCTCAAGGTGTGGGCAGAAATGGCTGGAGAAGGTTGTGGGGAAGACGTGGTGTGGGACAGACTGTCCCCTGAATCTGCACAAAGAAAGCAAAAGCTAGTTTATTTGGGAATTGTGCGTGATTTTTCCCAGCAACAACCAACCAACAAAACAAGAAGCCGTGAAAGCTGGCTGGGTGGCTTTGGGCCAGTCCCTCTCTCGCAGCCCAACTCATCTCACAGGGTTGTGGTTGTGGGGAAAAGAGGAGGAGGAAGGAGTCTGAGGTATGTTCGCCGCCTTGAGTTATTTATGAAAATGAGAAAGGCGGGATAAAAAAAGTCTAAAAACAAAACACAACGAAGCCTCCAGGATCTGCAACCGACACGAGATTCTTCATTGCTCGCTGCCTGTGTGCTTGGAGCTGCTGGGACAAACATGGAAGGTGAGGTCAGGGTTGGAAGACAGCCTATCCTTCCAGGCCAAAGTGGGCTGAAACAATCGATGTGTTCCACGTTGTTTTCTTTGTCGCCAAAGTTTGGGAAAAGGGCATTAATCATCTTGACTAACTTAAAAAGAAAGCTTCTACAAGACAGGCTTTTCGGGATTTCGACACCCTGCAGATTAACCTGCGTCGGCCACCAACCCACGGAATTGTGCTGGCTCTGGGGGCTCTGAAACTTGGGCTGGGGGCCGGGGTCTCCGCAAGGCAGGCTAAAAAAAAAATCAAGGTGGTGCAATTGACGTGTTTTATGTGCATTGCGCGTGCCACAGAGTCGCGTTATGTGAGATGGGCGGCTACATAAATACGACGGACAAACACACATGAGTAGCCACCATTCTGACTTTTTTTGGACCATGCCTTCCAGATATCCCCAGCTTTGGGGAATACGGCTTCCGGATCACAAAAGGAGCTGCCAGCGTCTCCACGAGAGGAGGGCTTCTGGTAGTGACATAAAAGCACCCCTGCGGGTGACTGTATTAATGGCGCAACAGTAAAGAAAGGGGGCCTTTGGGGACAGCAGGCCTTCCAGTTTGACGTCCAGCTGTGAAAGAACACAGAATAGGATTGAAACCGTCAAAGCCAAAACTTACGACAACTGTAGCAACCGTCTTGAAATGCATACGGATCAGTCTGCCAAGGAATGGATATTGTTTGCAGCAGTTTGGAACGTAATGCTTCAAGATGGTGTGTTTAAATCTTGCTGGTAAACAACCACGAGCTGTACTTTTTTTTGGCCTTCACAACTGGCGTCGCTTAAGCTCTTTCCACCCGGGGATAGGCAGACGTACCAATGGTGCAGAGTACCCTGGAGATCTGACCCAGCCTTATAAGTGTAAGTCTGGGGAGGGGAGGGGTACAACAAGCCACCATATTGACTTTTTTGGCTCCCCTGCAATAAGCCCACAAAAAGTGCAGGCTGACAGATGGGGGAATCAAACCTTCATTCATCTGGTCAGGTCTGGGAAGGGGTCACGCGTACCTCGGGCACAGGTTCTCCAACTCTCACATGCTCCTACCCTTGCCGTATGCAATTCCTTCTTACGTTTTTTTATCCTGCATTATTTTGATAAATAACTCAAGGTGACGAACATACCTAGTACTCCTTCCTCCTCCTATTTTACCCACAACAACAACCCTGCGTGGTGAGCTGGGCTGGGAGAGAGGAGCTGTCCCAAAGTCACCCAGCTGGCTTTTCATGCCTAAGGCAGAACTAGAACTCACCGTCTCCTGCTTTCTAGCCTGGAGCCTTCACCACTAGACCAAACTGGCTCTCATTTTATGCAAAAGGTCAAGCCTTACATTTAAGGCTGCCCAGATCAACAAATGTTTATGGCAGTGTTTCTCCACCTTGGCCACTTGAAGATGGGTGGGCTTCAACTCCCAGAATTCTGGGAGTTGAAGCCCACCCATCTTCAAGTGGCCAAGGTGGAGAAACACTGGTTTACGCCATATGAAACATGTTACATCTTCCTTGTGCCACAGGACTGACTGAGTTCCCTGTTTTTATAGAGACAAACAGGTGTATATACACACATATACAAGAGCTGGTGGGTTTAGGGCTTAAAATGCTGGAGTGGAAGTGGAGAGACCCAGGTTCTAGTCCTCTGCTAGGCATAGAAGTCAGCTGGGTGACTTTGAGGCAATCCGTCCGTCTCTGCCCAACTATCTCAGATGGCTGGTAGTGGGGCGGGGGTGGTAGGGATTTGCAGAAGGTGATTATACTGATTATATAAATCAGTATAAACAGAGATGTGGTGAAGGTGTTGGTCTAGGAGTGGGGAAACCCAAGGGCTCATTTTTCTTTAGGCATAGAAGCCACCTGGGGGACTTTGGGCCAGCCCTTCTCTCTCAGCCTAAGCTAGGAAGACTAAAAATAAAATAAATGAATGTGATAAAGTAAATAAAGAAATAGTAATCATAATAAAACATCTCTCTAGCAACCTGCGCTGGACCAGTGTGGTGAGAACGGTCCATAACCTTCATTGAAGAGCTCTTCATTGTGCAGTGAACTGTGAGCTGACCACAATAACAACACAACAGCCACCACAATATATACTGTTAGGCATTTTGTATTTCTATTTCTCTCTTATAATTCTTAACTTTTCCAGAGTAGTTGCCCTGTCCAGCTGTTGCAGCAAGACAAAAAAATCTTGTGATACAACCAACAGCTCCTATTTGACTGTGTGATCCTACCTCTTCATAATCCTTAGCCATGACTTCTGTTCCTTTCTCTTTTTCCTAACCATTTTCTTAAAAAGTGGTCACAAAAAGAACCACCTCCCTACCTCAGCCACAACGGTGAGAAGGTCCTGTTTCTCACAGCAGTGTGCAACTGACAATTAAAAGATAAATAGATTTAAACGTCTGTTATGGAAAGCCACCAGGTGTTTACACTAAGCAGAAATTCTACTTCCCTAATCTATAAACATTATATGGGGAAAGAGGCCAAGATATTAACTAAAGCAACATTTCCAAGAAGCAAAGTGTTTATATTGTGGGAAGACATGGCTGTTGAAAAATGTGCAGCCAAACACTTTCTCCAGGTGTTCTATGCACTCTTTTTAAAAACATCAAAAATACAGAGGCGATTTTAGACCCAAACCCAGCATTTTTAATTCAGAACCTGAATTAAACCTTCCCTCATATTGCTCCCAATCCCTGACACCACCAAAGTCCTTATATTTCAGGAGATTAGAATGCCAGGAATTTGAGTGTGAGATTCCACAATTTTCATACACAGATCACCAAAACCTTTCTTATCTCTCTCTCTTTTTTCTCTCTTTTTCTCTCTTTTTCTCTCTTTTTCTCTCTTTTTCTCTCTTTTTCTCTCTTTTTCTCTCTTTTTCTCTCTTTTTCTCTCTTTTTCTCTCTTTTTCTCTCTTTTTCTCTCTTTTTCTCTCTTTTTCTCTCTTTTTCTCTCTTTTTCTCTCTTTTTCTCTCTTTTTCTCTCTTTTTCTCTCTTTTACAATTTTCATACACAGATCACCAAAACCTTTCTTATCTCTCTCTCTTTTTTCTCTCTTTTTCTCTCTTTTTCTCTCTTTTTCTCTCTTTTTCTCTTTCTTTCTCTCTTTCTTTCTCTCTCTTTCTTTCTCTCTCTTTCTTTCTCTCTCTTTCTTTCTTCCTTTCTTTCTTTCTTTCTTTCTTTCTTTCTTTCTTTCTTTCTTTCTTT